CTGGCCTCACCCCCTGGCTGCTGTGAACCAGAGGGGGGAATCCCAGGGGGCAACGGGATGGGCGCGGCATGCGCACCTGGAGGGGCTGGGGTCGCCACAGCCCTGTCCTGCGCAGAGAACACAGGGCCCACAGCCGCACAGACCAGGAGACCTGGCCTCGGCACAGGGCGGCCTGGCTGGGGAAGAGGAGGGCTGTGAACGACACTTGCCCCCTTTAATTAGAGGCTTAACCGTGTGCTGATAATTGAGCCTCCCCCAGCACCTGCCTGTTTGGGAAGCACTAACAGCTGCACCTATTCCTCCCTCGGGGCCGGGAGGTCTCTGAGCCCTGCAGGTTGGGGGCGGATTCGGCACTGTCAGGGGGACGGGGCACCAGCTGCGGTTCTGAGCCCGCCTCGTGACACGCACGTCCCGGTGCAGCGGTGTGCGGGCTGAGCCCCTTCCCCGTGAGCTGAAGGGCAGCCCCGCATTGGGGAGGCAAGGCCGGGCCTGCTGGGAAGAGCAGCTCTTCTGGGAGTGGCCTGTGGATAATTGGGGTCCCAGTGCAGTGGGAAGCCAGCAAGCCTTGGCACGCCAGCTCCAGGGACGAAACAGAAACCGAGCCCGCTGAGGTCCCCGCACCATGGCCCGCTGCGGTCCCCGGAAGCCCTCGGAAGAGGCTGCTGTTTGGAACCGCTGGGAGCTCCCCCTTGGCTTTCCTTCTTTCGAAAGTCATCTTCCAGGGGTTGTTTTTTCTTTTGAGACAGAATCTTGTTGTTTTGCCCAGGCTGGAGTGCAATGGTGTGATCTCGGCTCAGTGCAGCCTCCGTGTGCCTCAGCCTCCCGAGTAGCAGGGATCACAGGCGCCCACCACCACGCCTGGCCGATTTTTGTATGCGTAGTAGAGACGGGATTCACCATGGTGGCCAGGCTGGTCTCGCCCTCCTGATCTCAAGTGATCAGCCGGCCGTGGCCTCCCAAAGCGCTGGGATTACAGGCGCGAGCCACCGTGCCCGGCATCTTCCAGGGGTTTTGAACTCTGTGTAAACAGCCATGTTCTAGAAAAAAGGACAAAGTCAAAGACCATCAAGCCCAGTCAGGGCAGAGGAGCTCAGGGACCCCAGCCCCCCACCCCGCACGGCTAGAACAGGAAGGCCACAACCAGGAGGCACCCGGGCGCACGTGTGTGGCTCCCCAACCCCCGCAGCCCCAGCACCGGCCCCGCCCCGCTGCCCGCTGTGGTCTGTGACCCACAGCCACCATTTTGTCCTTCAAGAGCTATAGAACCCGGCACGTCGGGAGGCAGCAGGGCGGCATAAGCCCAGGAGTTCCAGACCAGCCTGTGCCACACAGCAACATCATCCCTGCTCAAAACAGTTTTTTGAAGAGGGAATAGTGCACCATGGAATCAGAGCAGGTGCCCTTTTGAGGTGGGATTTTCTCATCAGCAGAGGCATCCCCGTCACCCACGACGGACGGGGTCTCCTTTGGATATTTGCTTTTGAAGATGGAGTCTTGCTCTGAGACCCAGGCTGGAGGGCGGCGGCACAGTCTAGCTCACCCCAACCTCCGCCTCCCGGGTTCCAGTGATTCTCCTGCCCCAGCCTCCCTTGTGGCCGTGATTACAGATGCGTGCCACCGTGCCTGGCTAGTTTTTGTATTTTTAGTGGAGACGTGGTTTCACCATGTTGGCCAGCCCAGTCTCAAACTCCTGGTTTCAAGTCTTCCGCCCGCCTCGACCTCTCACAGTGCTGGGATTCCAGGTTCGAGCCACCGCGCCCAGCAGGATGCTGGCTTCTTGAGGGTGCCCGCTCCTCAGGGTGACTGCACGGGGTGGGCTCCCACCCACCGGTGGGGACAGCGTCCTGTGGAGTTTGGACCTATTGCAAATGAAGCTACCGGCGCACGTGTGAAGGTTTTTATTTCTCTGAGGTGGATGGCCCAGAACGCCACTGCTGCCCGACACGGCGTGTCCCACACAGCGTAGCGTGCGTGAGGGACCAGCTGTCGCCATTTAAATTCCAGACAGGTGTGTGGCATCTCCTCGCGCTCTTAACTCGCAGCCAACCAGCAAACACTCGACACTGTATTTACGAAGGCATGTGTTCTGACTCCTTTGCAGACACTTTCAATCAACAAACTCTTCCCCACTGTCACTGACAGACATCCAAACTGGTTAAACCTATAGTTTATTCCTGAAATTCTCTGAAGTTTTCCAAGACTCTACATAAGGTTAACTGCCAAGCATAAATGCTTTCCTCATTGGAACGGTGACGGTTCTGTGGCAAAGCCAGGCCTCTCGTAGGACAACTTCTCCCATTACAAACGCTGAGCTGGGCACAGCAGCTCACGCCCGTGGTCCCAGTGACGTGGGAGGGGAGGCGGGAAGGTCCTTGAGCCCGGGAGCTAAGACAGCACCACTGCATTCCTGCCTGGGCGACAGAGAGTCTCCTCATCTCACACACACACACAAAAAAAAACCCACAAAAAAAAACGCCCCCACAAAATCCCCGCACACTGCAAACATAAAACAGGTTCTATTTCAATACAAAAAACATGAGTGTGCAACTTGAGTTCCCCAACCCTTCCCATGCTGGATTTGAAATCTCCACGAGGAAAGGGCTCCCTTTCAGAATCTCCAACACCCCAGTCAGCAGAGGTGGGGTCCCTGGTGCCATCTGCGGGCGCTGGCCTCTCCTGTGGACTTCAGACCTAGCCTCCCCCATATAACCCGAGTGTGGGACCCAGCCTGTGTGGCCCGTACGGTGGTAAATGTAGTTTCCGTGTTAGTCTACATATAACAGGTGTCCTTTTTCCCCACGTGACCTAGTGGAATCTCCCACCCTTTCATGTTCTCAGCAAACGCACAGCCTCCAGGGGCGTCTCCAGTGGCCGCCTCCCCCTCCCCCAGAGGGAGGACCAGCTATCCCACTGCCCACCTTACAGAAGAGGGAGTGTCTGGTGCTCAGGCAGCGGGTGCCAGTTTGGCACAGGCCGGCAGGGGCTCTGCTCCCACAGAGCAGGTGGGTGCTGGTCTCAGAGCACAGTTCAGGGGTGCTGGTTGGGCCTGCAGCCCGAGCCCGAGGACCATGCACATGCACTGATCGGATTCCGGCAGCCCCAGGGCTCCGCCCTCTCACCCCGACAGGGGCCCACATGTAGAGAGAGGCAGACCCCCGTGACCCGGCAAGGGCGGGGACGCTCACACACCGGGCTCCAGCACCAGGACAGGTCTCCCAGGAACACAGCCTCGGGCCAAGGACTTTGTGGAAAAGGCAACTCCCGCACCTAACGCCCCTGGAAACGCCGGCGAATGCTGGCTTTCAGGGAAGTCAAGAAAATGGACGCCAGGCGCGGTGGCTCACGCCTGTAATCCCAGCACTTTGGGAGGGCTAGGCAGGAGGGCTGCTTGAGCCCAGGAGGCTGAGACCACCCTGGACAAAATAGTGAGGACCCCCCAACCGTCTCCACACACACACACAAATGTGGCAGGCGTGGTGGCGCACACCCGGGGTCCCAGCTACCCCGGAGGCCGACGGAGGCTCCTTGCGCCCAGGAGGTCGAGGCTGCAGTGAGCCGCGATCACACCAGCGCAGGCTGGGCGACAGCATGAGATCCCGTCTCAAACACAAAAAACAAGCAAAAAGTGGAAACTCAGGCTCAGCTCCACGATGAGCTGCCGCCGACAGACTGGACTCCGAGGGGGACGGTGACGCTGTCCTCAAGGTCGCCCAGGCGGGTGCCTCCGCACGGGGCCGACACACCAGCTGCCCGCCCGCGGGCGCGTGGCCGGAGACCCCGCGGCTGCCGGGGAACCCTCAGTGCCGGGGCGCACAGCCCGGGGCGCTGGTGGCACCAGCTCCGGCCCAGAGGCCCCGCGGGCACCCGGATGGACCCTCGGGCGAGCCCCGTCCCTCTGAGGACCAGACACACACGTGGCTTCCCCGCCTGTCCCCAACCTCGTTTAGAAAACATCCTCATGCTGTTCAGACCGGAGCTTTATTTCCATTGAACTCCGGCATTTAAACCTGGGACGGAAGCACCAAACGGGGCCAACCCCAGGGCGCACGCAGGAGGGGCCGGGGGCCCCGGGCGCTGCCAGGAGTCGAGGAGGCTGGAGGGGGCCCCGGGGGGCCGCGCCACCTGCAGCCGCCGACCCCCACCCTGGGCGCTGGCCGGGCCCGGAGAGGGCCCTGGGACGCACGCAGGCCCCAAGCCGTTGCTCAGCGGGCGGACGCCCCCAGTTCCTTCGGGGAGCGCCTTGAAACGCGTTCGCCGAAAGCTGCGGGCGCCGCGGGACGCGCACGGGTCCGTTTTCTCCGGGGTGGCTCCGAGGCAGAGCCCCGGAGAGGCCACGCGCCCGTCCTGTGGGGCAGCGACGCCGCCGGACCACAGGGGGGACCTGCGATCCCGTCGTGCGTCCGGAGGCCGCAGGGCCCGGATCCGTCCGGGAGGCGGCGCCACCCGGGTCCGAGCCGGGGTCCGTCCCGCCTCGGACTCGGCAGAGGCGGCGGCTGCGGACTTCGGGCGCGTTTGGCCGAGCGCTCTGTGGGGCTGGAGGGCGCTGGCTCCGCGCGCCCGCGGTCGAACGCGGCGCAGGCGCGCCGCCGCCTCGGACGAAGCCGGAGCCGCCCCGGTCGCCCCAACCGCTCCTCCGCCGCCTAAACCGGCGGAACGCGACGGACGCCAGCGCCCGCGCAGCCCCGGGTCCAGCTCGAGGAGCATCCGGGAGACTCGGACGACGCCCCGCCCCGTCTCCCGGCAACGCCAAGCCGCCGGAGCGCGAGGAATCCTGGGAAATGCAGTCTGTCCCTGTCCGGGGCCGAGGCATTAGCCGCGTCTCCCGGGACTACATTTCCCAGGGCACTCCGCGACCACCCCTTTCCAACGGCCTTGCTCGACGGAGCCACTGGGCGAGGACGGCTCTCGCGCGGCCCGCCGGGAGCTGTAGTTTTCTTTGGGAGCCGCGGAGCCTGGCCCTGCGGCGGGGGCGGAGGAAAAACTACAAGTCCCAGGGGGCGCGGCGCCACCGCCTGAGGGCGGGGTGTATGAACGAGAAGCTCGGAGGGCGCCGGGGTGAGTGAGGGGCTGGGGGCGGGCGTGAGGGCGGCGGGTGGGAGCGCCGGGGTCCATCTCGGCGGCCCGGGCGGCGCGGGGCGCGCGAGAGGCGGACAAAGGTCTGCGCCTCCGGCCCGGTCCGAGAGACGCCCCCTGCGCGTCCCCCTTCGTGCGGCGCGCGGAGGAGCCGCCCGCGCCTGGGCCCGCGTGCTCGTCGCCGCCTCCCAGCGCGCTGGGGACGACAAGGGAGGGGGTTCCCGGGGCGGGGATGGAAGAGGAGGGGAGGGGGACCCCGGGGAGGGGAGGGTTTACCTGGGGAAGGAAGGGGAGGAGGCGCCCGGGGCGGGGAGGGGGTCCCCGGGGAGGGGACGGGAGCGGAGCCCGGGGGCGGAAAGGGGGCGCGCTCTCCTGGGCCTCCCCGCAGCCGGCCGTGGGGGTCCCGGCGTGGCCCCCGGTGTCCTAGAAGTCGGCCACGTTTCGGTTCTTTTTCCCGCGCGGCTCTGGGGTTTGTTTCGGTCCGTTTGCCGCCTGGAGTAGCCGCGGCGTGGTTGGGGTGCGGGGTTTGGGGGCGCGTGTTGCCGTGGCGGCGAGGCGCCTTGTGACGGGGGTGCCTGGCAGCCCGGGTGTCCGATGCTTTTCTTACCGCGAACGCAGCTTCCCCGGGAAACGGCTGAATTCTTAACCGCCGCCTCGTGTTAAACTTCCAGATGTCAGACTTGGCCCGTTTTGTGGTTTTCGTCCTTAGTGTCAGCGCAGTGTGCGGAGGCTCAGCGGCGCTCCGCCAGCGTCCTTGGCGGCCACACTGGTTTAAAGTACGTGTTTGCGGGTGACACAGAAACGTTCTTTTCCAGACACACACGTCCCGCCCCCAGTGCTCCTCCCAGCAGCCGGAGCCCTGGGGCCCACGGGCAGCACCCCGGGCGGGAACCCCGCAGGTCCCCCCAGCCCCTCCCTGCCTTGCGGCTGCGCTCCACCTGCTCTCCGACTTACTGGGTAACTCATTTAGAGAATCACGAGCACTGTGGATGCTGAGGTGGGACGTGGCTCAGGCCCGGGAGTCTGAGACCAGCCTGGGCGACACAAGGAGACCCGTCTGTAAAAAATAAAACAATAGGCACGCATGGTGGCGAGCACCTGTGGCCTGTTACAGTCAGTGGCCAGTCGGACGTGAGCAGGGCAGGAGAGGGCCCCACCCAGGGCCATTTGGCTGGTCAGAGAAGGCCTCAAGGGAGCGTGCGCACAACTGCGGTAAACACTCTGCCCGTCCTCGCTCCCGAGTGCTGGCAGCCACTGTGCCTGTGGACAGCCCACCCCAAGGGAAGAGTCCGGAGAAGTAACACGAGACCCCAGAAGCGTGCCAGCGTCTAAGATCCTAAGTCAAAGGTCAGTGCACACTCCTGACCTCCCAAGTCTCCGACTGGCCCTCTTTCAAGGGGGCTTCACTTCCCTTCATTCCTGCTCTCAAGCTTCTTAACAGTTGCGGCTGCTCTAAAACTTGCCTCGATCTCTTTGGCCTCATGCCGTTCAGTCAGATTCCTTCTTCCGAGGGGCAAGGACTGGGGCCGCGGCAGACCTGGACGGTTCCCTGCTGCTAACGTGCTTTGGTGTCGGATGTGGGGTATGTTCTGCCACCAACAGCCCCAGCTACTGGAGGGGCTGAGGCAGGAGGAGCGCTGGAGCCCAGGAGGCAGAGACTGCGGTGAGCCGAGATCACAGCCTGGCACTCCAGCCTGGGTGAAAGAGGGAGAGCCTGTTTCAAAAAAAAAGAACAACCATTCTCACCACAGTGCTGAGGGTTCCACAGGCCCAAGGTACAGCGTGGAGCTCAGGTGGGCCCCTAGGGCTGCTGTGGCAGAATGTAGCTGAGTCGGGACACCACGGTGTGTCCGTGGCGGCGAAGCCAGGTGGGGCTGCAGCAGCCTCAGGTCTTGCCTCCTCAGAAGGAATGATTCGACTGAGGGGCACGAGGCAGGAGGGCCGGAGGCAAGTTTTAGAGCAGGAGTGGGAGGAAGGGGGTAGGGCACGTTGGGAGCCAGAAGTAAGGCTGAAGGCCCCACAGGGTCGTGGGGTGAACCTTATGCTGTTCACAGCATAAGGTGCAGGATCCGAGAAATAAAGAGACAGAACACAGAAGTATAAAGAAAATGCAGCTGGGCTCAGGGGGCCACGCCACCTATAAGCGGAGTCAGGCGAGGCTGGCTGGCGAGCGGCTGGCGAGGCTCCTGGCGTGGCAAGGCTGGTGAGAGTGGTGAGGCCTTAATGTCCAGAAGCGTGAGTATTTATTGCGTATAGGTTGGGGGCAGGGCAGTGAGTGAAGTCATCTTTAAGGATAGTGATAGGGTTGTGAGCAATAAAACATAGGGTCCACCCCCATTAGGTCACCTAGGCCAGGAGATGGACAGCGCGCAGCAAGGGCCCCGTTCCCACGAAGGCAAGGGCCGTGTGCAGTAAAGGGTCCACCCCCATTAGGTCACCGAGGCTTGAAGGTGGGCTGTGCGCGGTGAAGAGGGTGCAGTGTGCGATACTTCTACCTATGGGCAAACTACTTCTAAGAAGATTTATCGGAGGATGCTTTAAGTCACACAGCAGTGACAGAGCTGTCAAGGTTACCGTCACCTGGCAGCTTCCAATGGCTTCTATGGGAAGATGCTTTTCAAGCAGCACAGTAGCAAGAGCTGATAAAGTTCACAGTCCCCAAGGTGGATTGCGGGTCTGAGGGCAGCCTTCCACAAGAACCGGAGCAAGGCCCTACGACTCCTTTATCAGGAGGAGTGGCTCTCGCCCCAAGCCTGCCATACAGCGGGTATCTTTACGATACTGAACGCTGCCGCCTGGGCCATGGATTCTTGTCCTGGTGTAACTGTTCTTCCCTTAAATCATGCTCTGCACCGTGTCTGCTCTGGGCATTCCTCCGATTATGAACTAAGATATAGTTATAGGTATATATGTAGGAAAATACTCTTTAGGCACTCCTACCATCAACTATGAATGATTATATATAGAGGATTATATAAAGGGATTCTTCAAGCCCTATTTCTATAAAGTAATATATGATTATGTAAAGGATTATGTAACAGGAAATAGCTGAGTAGTAACACTATAAAGTGATATATTCCTCAAGCCCTAACTGTGTCAGGGCTCTACTTAGCTCTCATTCCTCGGTGCCTATATGGGGGGTTACCCACAGAAGGAAGCACCATCGGAAGAGGGCCAGGCGGGCGACTTGAGACCAAGTGTGCGGTTTTAGATGCTGGCATGCTTCTGGAGTCCTGCGTCCCTTCTCCCTGATTCTTCCCTTGTGGTGGGCTGGCCACCGCACAGCGGCCTGCTGGCACATGGGAGGGAGCCTGCAGCCCCAGCTGACCGGAACAGCGTGCGCACTCCCTTGAGGCATTCCTCCCTGACCTGTCAGATGTCCCAAGAAAGTCACGGAACAGTTACATGCCGCCATTTTGCCTCTCGGTGCACACGCTTGAGCCTGCCTGCCCCACTCCTGAGATATTATTGTGGAGCTGCCAATCACTGCTTTCAGGGGTTTTCTGTCTTTTGGGAGACTGCCTTTCCCTGGTGCTGGTGCAACCAGTTCTTTTAGAGACAGTGAGCAGCCACCTGACCATCACCTGATGGTCGCCTGACATTCCTGGTGGGGGCTGGGTCCTCTCCTGCCCTGCTCATGTCTGCTGAGTTACCTGCAGTAACAGCCCAACTCGAATGTTCTGAGCCCACAGGTAGGTGGGCAGCGTCTACCCTTCACATCAGCAAGGTGGGATGTCTCCTTTACATCCATCAAGGGCCTCGCGGTATTTGTTTCCTAAGGAAGCATGGGCTGGGATCTTTGGATAGGCTCATGTTTCAGGCTCCCAGACACTTCTTACTGGGCTGTAAAGCTACATTTCACGTTGGCTTCCTTCACTTTCTATGAAGATGACCAGCGTTAGTTACATGGATGCAGTGGGGGCGCCAGCTGGCTCTCAGTGCTGTGTTTACCAAGGTTCCACAGCGTGAGAAACCCGCAGGTGTGTACCGAGGTTCCACAGCGTGAGAAACCCACGGGTGTGTACCAGGGTTCCACAGCGTGAGAAACCCACGGGTGTGTACCAAGGTTCCACAGCGTGAGAAACCCGCGGGTGTGTACCGAGGTTCCACAGCGTGAGAAACCCACGGGTGTGTACCAGGGTTCCACAGCGTGAGAAACTCGCGGGTGTGTACCGAGGTTACACAGCGTGAGAAACCCGCGGGTGTGTACCGAGGTTCCGCAGCGTGAGAAACCCGCGGGTGTGTACCGAGGTTCCGCAGCGTGAGAAACCCGCGGGTGTGTACCGAGGTTCCGCAGCGTGAGAAACCCGCGGGTGTGTACCGAGGTTCCGCAGCGTGAGAAACCCGCGGGTGTGTACCGAGGTTCCGCAGCGTGAGAAACCCGCGGGTGTGTACCGAGGTTCCGCAGCGTGAGAAACCCGCGGGTGTGTACCGAGGTTCCGCAGCGTGAGAAACCCGCGGGTGTGTACCGAGGTTCCGCAGCGTGAGAAACCCGCGGGTGTGTACCGAGGTTACGCAGCGTGAGAAACCCGCGGGTGTGTACCGAGGTTCCGCAGCGTGAGAAACCCGCGGGTGTGTACCAGGGTTCCACAGCGTGAGAAACCCGCGGGTGTGTACCGAGGTTACGCAGCGTGAGAAACCCGCGGGTGTGTACCGAGGTTCCACAGCGTGAGAAACTCGCGGGTGTGTACCGAGGTTCCGCAGCGTGAGAAACCCGCGGGTGTGTACCGAGGTTCCACAGCGTGAGAAACCCGCGGGTGTGTACCAGGGTTCCACAGCGTGAGAAACTCGCAGGTGTGTACCGAGGTTACACAGCGTGAGAAACTCGCGGGTGTGTACCGAGGTTCCACAGCGTGAGAAACCCGCAGGTGTGTACCGAGGTTCCGCGGCGTGAGAAACCCGCTCCCGTGTGTACCGAGGTTCCGTGGCGTGAGAAACCCGCGAGTGTGTACCGAGGTTCCGCGGCGTGAGAAACCCGCTCC